ATTATGTATGTTTGCAATATACAATAAGTACATTCATCCTAAGGAACAGGTACGTGTAAAATAATACAAAATAGAAACAAGCTCTGGAAGAGCACTCATTTGGTCTGAATAAAGAGAGAGCATTGGCTTGACACTTTCTAAGGTCTTCACAGGAACTCTGCTTCACTCTTAATTTGGCAGAACCAAAAAAAGTAACTACACTATACTCGTTCATAATGATTCTAGTATATATAGTGTATATCTTCCTAATATTTTCTAAAATTTATTGAGATCATTCGCAAGACAGATACTAAAGTTAGGTTTAGTCCTTTTCTGATTTCCTGACAAGCAAACTGTGGACACAGCCTTATTGGAAAAGTCCTCAGAACAGTCACATAATTTGGGTAGAAGAGGTCATTGAGAAAAGTATCACCTGTAATAGTCTCCATTCATTGAATACAATTTAGGTAAAGTATTTTGCTCTAACAACTGGTATCCTCTTGTATAAAAACAGGTAAGTCATATGAGAAGATTGTGGTGGGGAAGATTATGTCTGCTTTATCAAAGCAAAATAATAGGAACTTCACTTAAAGATTCATGAGACATCAAAAATGATCAACGAACACATAGTAGTAGTTCACACCTAATCCCAGCATTTAAGAAGGTGAGACAGGAGGATTACTAAAAATTGGAGGCCAGCCTAGGATATACAGCAAAACCCTAACTGGAGTGGCGGAAGCGGGGTTTACACACGACTTTAAAGACTTTACACCCTTAGAAGAGCCATTTAAAAAGTTGAACTTGGGCATGGTGGCACAAACCTGGGTAGCACTCTGGGAGGCTGAGATAGGAGGACTGAAAGTTCAAGCCCAATCTGGATAACTTGGGCCAGGGATATAGTTCAGCAGCATAAGCACCTGCCTGCAAGTACAAGGTCCTGATTCCTGGTAACACACATGTGCACACGCGCGCGCATACACACACACACACACAAGACCAGTCTAGATAACTTATTAATTTAGAAAGACTCTGATTTAAAAAAAAATTTTAAGGGCTGGTGATGAAGCTCAGTGTGAAGGCTCTAGGTTCAATCTCCAGCAGCACAGTGAAAAACAACAACAAAAAAAGGACACAAAACTGCTGGGCATGGTGATGCAGGCCTATAATGCTAGCACTTGGGAGACTGAGGCAGGAGGACAGCTGCTAGTTCAAGGCCAGCCTGTGATACACCGCAAGTTCACATCTTATAACAACTTACATAGCAACACCGTCTAAAGAAAAACAAAAAAACGATTATTTCCACCAATTCTGGTGGCATACATCTATAAACCCAACTACTCCAACAGCTGTGGCTCAAGGATCACAATGAGAACCGCCTGGACGATTAATGAGCCTAGCTTCAAAGCTAAAAAAAATAAAAAGGGCTACAGATGTAGCTCAATGGCAGGGTGCCCTGGGTTAAAGTCTTGATAGTGGGAAAAAAAAAAAAAAAGGACCGGGAGTTTAGCTCAGCAAAGTAAGTGCCTGCTTGGCAAACGTGAGGTCGTGAGTTCGATCCCCAGCACCAAAAAAAAAAAAAAAAAAAAAAAAAAATTATGAACAAAAACCACAAAAAAGCAGACTATATATTCCCTCATATTCTTCTCAGAATAAAATACATTTAAAAACTGCTAATATAAATTGAATCAAAAATAATGTTAGTTGTAAGTTTTAAATCTGCAAGGTAGGCAGGCATGGTGGCACACACCTGCAATTCCAGCATTTGTAGGCTGAGGCAGGAGAAGCACTGTAAGTTCAAGACCAGCCTCGGTTACATGGTGAGTTGAAGGCTAAGCTGAACTACTGTATATGGTGAGACCCTGTCTCAAATTAAATAAATAAATCCAGGGTAAATACAAAGATTTCATGTTTCTTGGGGTTTTTTCTTATGTTCTCATAGTAAAAAGGATTTCAAGGCAGAAATTTATTCCATTTTCATTTATTTTGCAGCTTATATATCAAAATTAAATTTTACCAGTATATACATGAATCATGCTTCTGATGTTCATTTTAATCTTTCCTACATTTTTGCAGTGCTGCAGATGGAACTCACGGCTTCACACATACTAGGGAAGAGCTCTATCATAGAGCTACAACCTTGTCCCTGATTGTACCTTAAAATCAGAACCACTTCCTATTTTCTATATGTTTTAATTCTCAGTAAAGAGGCATGGTAGCACATACTGATAATCCCAACACTCAGGAGGCTGAGACAGGAGGATTACCGCAAATTCAAAGCCAATCTGCACTAGCTAAGTTGAAGGCCAGTCTGTCTCAAAAAAATGGGGAAAAAAAATCAAAGGAAAAGGAAGAAACACGTTAATTAAGAGTTATAAGGCTAGGGGCATACTTCAGTGTAGATCACTTGTCTAACATGTAATAGTCCACAGGTTCTACTCCAGCATCAATAATAATGAAATTGGGGCAGGGGGTTTAGCTCAGCAGGCATAAGCGCCTGCCTTGAAAGCAGGCAGTCATGAGTTCGATCCCTGGTACCGATAAAAAGGAAAAAGACAAAAAAATAAAAAAATAATGAAATTATTCACATTATATTTAAATTTTTTTTTAATTGGTACCAGGGATCGAACTTACAGCTGCCTGCTTGCAAGGCAGGTGCTTATGCTGCTAAGCTAAATCCCCAGCCCCTTATATTGTAATTTTTTAAAGCATCAATCCACATTGTATACAGTAGTATAGCATATTTGAGTAAAACCTATGAAATACACCTTGGTCATTTTAAAAATCAAACATATCACATCTTATAACAACAAGTTATAAGAAACTACTCATAGCCAGGGATTTAGCTCAGTGGCATAAGTGCCTGCCTTACAAGCAGGAGGTCATGGGTTTGATTCCTGGTAACAAAAAAGAAAAAAAAGAAAGAAAGTACTCATAACTGAATTTTATACTACTTACTATCAATTTCCAGGGACCATTTATATACAGCATTTTGGAGACCCTTGGCTCAGTCCCCAGTACCACATAAGAAAAATTACTTTGGAAAGAACAACTTGTAGGTATACACATATAACTGTATACATGTGTTTTTTTGTTTTTTTGGTTTTTTTTTGTCTTTTTCTTTTTTATCGGTACCGGGGATCGAACTCATGACTGCCTGCTTGCAAGTCAGGTGCTTATGCCGCTGAGCTAAATCCCCAGCCCCAACTGTATACATGTTTAAGTGTGCAAGATAGATAATACTACTAAGTTGTTAGTTCATCAAACAATAGTTTGTGCTGTCACTGTTCATTTTTTTACACTTTGATTTTGTAACTTTAACAACTACTTCTAAGATAACAATATGTAATATATCAACTAGTGATGATTTAAGGTTTTTTTTGAAATTCTTTTTTATTTCTACCTTTTTTCTTTTTCTTTTTTTTTTTTTTTTTTTTTTTTTTTTTTGTCTTTTTCATTTTTATCAGTACCTGGGATCAAACTCACCAAGGCAGGTGCTTATGCGGCTGAGCTAAATCCCCAGGCCGGTTTGTATTTTAATTAAAAAAAAAAAAAAGAAAGAAAAGAAAAAGAAATTCTTCCTGTCTTTTTGAGACAGGGTTTCTCTCTGCAGTTCAGACTGCCTTCAGCTCACTTTGTAGCTCAGGCTGGTCTGTAACATGCAATGATCCTCCTGCCTCAGCCTCTGGAGTGCTGGGATTACAGGCATGCGCCACAGCACCCAGCCAGAAAAATTATTTTTAGAAGGCACTGAGAATCCTTTTGTATACATGTTTTGAAATATTATCTAGTTTCCTCATTTCAAACTTCATTCCAAAATGGGCGTGGCAGCACTTGCTGGTAATCCCAGCACTCAGGGGGCTGAAGCAGGAGGATCACCTGAAATCCAAGGTTTGCCTGATCTACATAGCAATACCCAGTCAAAAAACAAAAACAAAAGGCTGTAGCAGCACACACCTGACACTGCCTCACAAAATAAAACAAACAAAGGCCTCATTCCATTAAACTGGGCTATCCTGACCCTGTATGACTGACAATAATTAATCTCCAAATTCAAAGACACTTCAGCTTAAAATAAATTGTGAGGCACAGTGGCACACTTGGGTGGTTGAAGCAGGAGGATTGCCACAAGTTTGAGGCCAGCCTGAACTACACAGCCAGACTCTATCACTAATGAATTAATAAATAAGTTATTTGGGCTGAGTATATAACTGTAACTCAGAAATGGAACACTTGCCTAGCATATGCAGGGCCCTGACTTCAATCATCCCTGCCTATTTAAATACAATACCCACTTATAAAAGTCGTAAAAAATTTTTAACACATTTTACTTATGAAGAAACCAAAGCTCTCATAAATTCCATGACTTGTTCCATGTCAACAACTAGCAAATGTGGCACAGTTTGAGTTCATTCCCAGATTATTCCCTCTGAAAACCAATACTTCCACTTGACCACAATTATCTCCTTAAAAGATTAAGAGAGCTCAACAGCAGAGAATGCTGCCTTTCCTAATGTTTGTGAATCTAGTCTATCTACAATTCATCCAAACTGACTAAAACGTAAATGAAGAGGATTTTTCTGTTTCATTTAAATTTGGACAGGTTCACTAGAAGGTCAAATAATAATAATAATGATAATAGAAAAGTTTGTCTCAACATGTCTCACCTAGACTTCTATAGCTATGGTTTCCCCTTTCGGTTTTTCTGCTTTTCTGTCTCTTTTCCATACCACGTACATCTCATACACAAGGCTCACCTGACTAGATGTTTTCCAGAAGTGCTCTTTTCTTTTTTTTTTTTTTTTTTTTTTTTTGTCTTTTTCATTTTTATCGGTACCGGGGATCGAACTCACGACGGCCTGCTTGTAAGGCAGGTGCTTATACCGCTGAGCTAAATCCCCAGCCCCAGAAGTGCTCTTTTCTAAGAAAATTTAACCAGATCTATATCGGGCCGGAAGACTTGAGCTGCTTGTGCCATTCCCACACTTTCCAAACATCCGAAGTATCGTCTAGCGGCCACAAACCTGGTTCCACTCTTTTCTTTCACGCTGTGACTCCAGCGCACTTGGGGGACACTGCTCCTACAGGACTTCGGGCCGAGGGGGCAATGTAGGAAGCGGGAGAAGCGCACGGAAGTTGGGTGGGGAAATCTCCCTATCCATTCTGCTGCCCCGGCTCTGCCCAGGGCGGCTCCGCGGTGCCCAGGCGACTCGGAACCCTCACCACTGTCGCAGCCTGGCTCCGCCCCGGCTAGGTAGCCGGGGCAGGCGGGCACTGGAAGCCTGAGGTGGCCCCATCCACCCGCTGGGTCCATGCCCTCCTTCTGGCCCAGGAGGATGCTCCCCGCTTCGGAGCGAGCCCTCCAGGTGGCAAACTCTGGGTCTGCACCAGCGGAGTCTTCTGCCTCCGAGGGGCGCCACCTCCTCCTGTCTCCCACCGAAACCCCGAAACTCTCTGCCCGGTATCCCCAAGCGCACGCGTGCCGCCCCCGCAGCCTCTTCACACACACTCGCCGGCCCGCGCCCCACCCGGGAGCCCAGCGCCCCTGCCCGGACTCAGGGACGGGCCCCCCAGCACCCCCCTCCAACCCACACACACACCCTAGGACCACAGCCTCCAGGACCCCGTCGAAGCCAGAGCAGTTACCTGGACCGGCTGAGCTTTGGGGTTCAAATGGGGCGGGCGCGGTCCCTTTCCTGAGGCACGGAGTGCTCTACCCACCCACAGCCATGGTTTTTCTCTTTCCCAAGAGCGGGAGGGAGGAGTGGAGGCGGAGGGGCGGGGGGAAGCAAGGAGCAGAGGGGCAGCAGCAGCCGAACCGGAACCGTTAACCCTGGCCCCGCCCACAGCCCGGAGCCCGCAAAGCACTCTGGTGCTCCTGATAGGACAAACTTCGGCGCCCTCACAGAGACACTGACATCACCAATTCCGGGTCATCCCCACTGCCGCCCCTCCTTAGCAACAGCGTGGCGTTGCTAAGCGGAAGTGCCCTCAAAGACACCCACCCCCACTTACTTCTCCGGCTATCAAGGAGGTAGGTTGGGAGCGTTCGGCTGTCGGTTGGTGACAGCTTCTTACCTCCGTCTCACGATTTTAAATCCTAGGAAACGCTTCGCTACTAAAGGCATTAAACTCGCACCGCTTTTCCCTTCAGTTAGTCTCTGTCAGCCGACACCAACCACATACACCGAATGTTTTCCGCCCCGAGGCCAAAGCCAACCCAGTGTGTCCTCCTAAGACTCCCGTCTGTTCACACGCGGGAGGTACTTTCTGACGATTTAGCAAGCATCTCCCTCTTGTGGATTTCTCATTGTGTTTCACCTATATTTTTTAAATCTTCGGTGTGATGAAAGCTTTTTTTTTTGTTTTTAAATGCACCGGGTTCTCCCGCGATAGGCCCTGAAGCCAAATGGTGAGAAAGTTTTTGTCTTCCCCCGTCTTTTGTCAGGATTCTGCGTGTTTGTGTGTGGTCTGGAAATAACCTAAATTGAGGCGCTAAATACACTCGATTGATGAGACCGACAAGATTCGATGTTAAAAAAAAAAAAAAAAAAAAAAAGACTATGTAAACTGATGATTAATCTTGAAAAAAGAAAAAGACCAAAGAAATCCCGTAAACAAATTTGGGAAGGAGAAAAACATCTAATCCTTCACGCAGAATAAACCTTCATACTTACGTTGCGGACAAATGTCAATAAGAAAAGTCATTTATTCTCTCAGAATCATTTGGGGGTTAAAAATATTGGGAAAGGGCTAGGGATTTAGCTCAGCGGCATAAGTGCCTGCCTTGCAAGCAGGCAGTCGTGAATTCTATCCCCGGTACCGATAAAAAGGAAAAAGACAAAGAAAAAAAAAATATTGGGAAAACAATTCATTGGAGTAAAACCCAGCAAAATAATCTCCTTTAATCTATGACTCATGCTCTTAAAGTAATTATTCAAGGAAACTTGAATAAAAACGTGGATTTTCTGTCTTGGACTGGTCTGCTTAAAAACATTAGTTTTGGGTTTTTTTTCTTTTTTTCCCCTTTTGGTATCAGGAATCGAACTCAGGGCTCATCCTTACCAGGCAGGTGCTATGCCACTGAGCTAAATCTCTGGCCAAAGTTTAAAAGCTTCTGAACTTGTTTTCTCTTCTGTAGTAATGAATATACTTACAACTGCAGGTTCCAGTTTTATTGATCACAACACCATAACACTTTTTTTTTTTTTTTTTTTTTTTTTTGGTACAGGGGATTGAATTCACAACCTTGTACTTGCCAGGCAGACACTTATACCACTGGAACTAAACGCCCAGCCTGGTAACACTTTCTTAAGTCTCCAGTATTGGACTGTTGTCTATTTTGTCTAGTACACACAGGAAATTGGTTATGGTCTATTGGTTTCCTGGATTTAATTGATTCATCATAGGCAGTCAATTTAGCAGAACTTTAGGAAATCACTCAAATGTGTCAAATTATTACATAAGTTTAAAACATTTCTGTTCCTGCCATCAACATACATGTGGGAAGTATGTACTGTACTACATATCAAATGAAATCTGAACACACCCAGTAATTAATTTTTCTTAATCTTGCTGAGCGCTGAGGATGTGGCGCAGTGGTAGAGTGTTTGCCAAGCATGCACAAGGCCTTTGCTTCTTTGTCCATTACCAAAATAAAAAACCTGGCTGAACTTTGTATTCTTTGATACTGTGATTTGAGCAACTATTTCCAAGATGATAATATGTAATCTATTAACAGGTGATTTCTTACTGGTATGTTTTTTTTTTGTAGTTCTGTATTATGTGTAACCTTACACCGCTTTGTTTTGTTTTGTGTTTTTCTCTTTTTCCTCTTAAATAAAATTAAAAAAAAACCTGGCTGAAAGTGAATAGTGACAAACTCATACCATAGTATTTCAACTGCTAATAGGTATAAATGTATTCCTAAAAATTTTTAAGTTCAAAAATTAGGTAAAAATATGATTCCAATCAGCAAAAGTTTGTATAAAATGATGATAGGCTTATATATATATATTAAAAATTAAAACATGATTATGCTAAATGTGTTCTTAGTAATGTCTTATTAAATAAAATTAACATAAAAAAGCATAATAGTTTAAGCTAATATGGAAATGCAAATTCTTATGTATCACTAATTGTAGCCACTGCCTGAATAAAAAAAATTTTTGTCTTTTTCTTTGTTATCGGTACCAGGGATCGAACTCATGACTGCCCACTTGCAAGGCAGGCACTTATGCCGCTGAGCTAAATCCCCAGCTCCCTGAGTAAAATTTATAAGTGGTATGCTTTCATTCTCTTTGCCTAGAGCTTTTTAAAATATTCAGTCACTGTGTGTGTGTGTGTGTGTGTGTGTGTGTGTGTGTGTGTTTCTTAACCTGAGATTGAACCCAAGGTCTCTGCATTGTTGCTAAGTCACTAAATTGCCCAGGCTCAGCCTCACAGAATGCTGGAATGGCACCACCATGCGCAACTCCAGTCACTTTTGTAGAGGTAAGTGAATACTCTACAATGATCATGTGACCTCTGTAATTCAGTCACTTTCTGCACAACCATTGTTTGGAGACCTCTACAGATGGCTAATATAACTTCCACCTAAAACTAGGTATATGAGTTTAACCCTACTTTTAGGATTTTGTAACCAGCATTAGAAAAATGTATATCCTCAATATAAACTATGTAACTGTGCTATCTCAGATTGAGACTGATTTCAAGTACCCTTCATAAATCATTACAGTACTTTCATTTTATGGATAAATCAAACCTTGAATGTTTTCTCTCAACGTCTTTAGAGCTTTTTCATTTTTATATTGCCCATTGAAATGATTTAAGAAAGAATGAACAAATTTAACATTTATTTTTAGGAAACCCAAATACTGCTAGTCAATGATTGTAAATATTTCTAGAGTAAATTACATTGAAAAATTAGCTGGATGTAGTGGCACACACCTGCAATCCCAGCACTTGGGAGGCTGAGGCAGGAAGACTGCTGTGAGTTTGAAGCCAAACTGGAATGCATAGTGAGTTCAAGCCAGTCTGAAGTATGGTCTCAAAAAAAAAAAAGTTACAATTGCATTAGTACCTCCCAATATAAAAGATATCAAAGCTAGAGTCAAAAAGCTAATTAGTGAATACTTGGGGATCACTAAGAAATTTAGCTAAGTGTAGTACATCCAGGACTGTGGCAGGAATATCATGAGTTAAGCCAACCTAGCCAACCAAAGAGACCAATCTCAAGGAAAAAAAAAATTAGGGCCACCTACTCAGGATCCCTTCTGGAAACCCAGGAGCTATTTTTCCTCTTATTATTTGCAACAAAAATTCACCTAACCTTAAAAAAACACAATCCCTGTATCAAGGGATACAGCTTAGTGGTAAAGCACTTGCGAAGAATGCATGAGGCCCTAGGTTTAGCACTTGTCACAGATAAAGAAAGTTAGCCAAGTTTATCATTTATATGCCTACACAGTGTACTTTACAATGCAAAAACTACATAACCCCTTATACCAAGGGATTTAGAATAACTCACTTAGGCTATAAGTGACACTAACAGCAGAATGTTAAGCCTCAGTAAAGGCTAAAGATACAATTATCTTTAAATAATTGAAGATCTTTGTGTGGAAGGAATGTCTTGTTTTTTTTTTTTTTTTTTTTTTTTTTTTTTTTTTTAACTTCAAGGACAGAACCAAGAATAGAAAGGAGGGTTGAGGGGCTGGGGATTTAGCTCAGCGGCATAAGCACCTGCCTTACAAGCAGGCATTTGTGAGTTCAATCCCTGGTACCGATACAAAGGAAAAAGGAAAAAAAAAAAAAAAGAAAGAAAGGAGGGTTGGGGATGTCTGTCTTGCTCAGTGGTGGAGCACTTGCCTAGCATGCCCAAGGCCATGGGTTCAATACTTGGCAACACATAAAGAGTGAAAACAATTGAAACTCAAAGATTTTTAACAATTACAGTTGCTAATAGGACAGTCTACTTAAGTAAATAGCAAATTACTAACTTACTTAGGTCAAATAGGTAACTTCTATTATTCTGCTCAGTTTTGATTCAATAAAAGCTCTCTTTATTTTTTAGCTAAGTGGCATAAGTTCCTGCCTGGCAAGTGCAGTTATAAATTCAATCCCTGGTAGCAAAAAAAATGTTAGTTAAAATTTTCCAAAAGCAAGTTGGCCTGAAGGATTCTAAGTACACTAGGATTTGTAAGTTACATATATATGAGGTTCAGTTAATTTAGCCTTTATGTTTTATTAAATTAACGATATCCAGTCTATATTTCTTGTTTAGTGCTGAGGATTGAACCTACAACCTCCAGCATGCTTGTTAATCACTCTACTGCTGAGCTACATCCGTGCAGCCCTCTTAAATTACCCAGGCTGGCCTTGAACTCCTGGCTTCAGAAGTCATTCTGTCTCAAGCAGTAGCTGAAGTTGCAGGTACCTGCCATCACTTGGAGCCATTCTTATTTTTTCGGTACTGGGAATCAAACTCAGGACCTTGCACTTGCCAGGCAAGCACTGCCATTGTTCAATTTTTTAAAACTGCTTTTTAAAAAAAACTGCTTTAAACACAATTCTCATTCTCTCTGTCTCTCTCATGAGACAGACTCACTCTGTAATCAGGCTGGCTTTGAACTCAGTAATCTTCTTCCCTCAACCTCCTGAGCACTAGGATTACAGGCGTGCGCCATGCCTGACTAGAGAAGTATGTTTTTCCTTTATGAAACTATGCATCGAAACACAAAATACATGTGGTCCTCACACATTCTAGCATTAAGATTCCAGAGTTGGCTGGTGATATAGTTCAGCAGCACAGTGCCTGCCTGGCAGGCACAGGCTTATGAGTTCGATTCCCAGTCAAGAATAACACTAGCATTCATAATTTTAATGACCCATTAAAAGAGGAAAATTATCAACTCTGAGAAAAGAAACATGATAGTTTCTTTTTGAAAATGAATAAATTTTTCTTCTTAATTCAGCTTCATTGGAAATCAGTGTTCTGTCCTTCCCATGTGTTCAGTAGGCTAACTTAACATGCTACATTTTTTAAAAGCTTGAAAAGGATTTTCTGGCATGGTGGGACATGCCTGTAATCCCAGCCCTCAGGAGGCTGAGGCAGGAGGATAAATGCAGTTCAGAGTTATCTGGGGCAGGGAGTCCAACCTGAACTAAATAGCAAGTTATCTCAGAAAGTTAAAACAAAAAGTTGATCAATTAATGCACTAATCTATTTGGGAGGAATAAAATGCAATCATGTAGTAGGATAAAATCTTAAGAACCACACAAAGAGATAGTGTATTGTAAAAATAATCATTTATTTCAAGCACATTTCAGAAAAACATGCCAATTTTTCTTTTTTCTGGTATCAAGAATTGAATTCACAACCTTGCACTTGCCAGACAGGCACTGTGCCAGTAAGCTATATTCCTGGCCCAAAACATAGCTGTTAAAACATGGCTAAAAGTGATAGTTTTGACACTAAGCAAAATGTGTTATAAGGAAGCAGGCCATCATTAACAAGTAATATTACACATGCTTCTTCAGCTGTGCTGTGGGTTATCTTGAGAAATGTAGGGAATTCCAAGGATTTCAGATACAGCGTCGGGTTTATGGCATGATTTACCTATCATGTTTAATTTCTTTCCACATTGAAAATATAGCCTTGAAAGGTATGAAACTGAACCAAATACATATCCATATCCAGGGAAAATCCCCCACTTTTTATGTACTCTGTTTCTGATTCTGTGGCTAATATTTAATCTTTTTGTTGGTTTGTTTCCTTGCTCCACTCTCCTGTACTGAGTAGACCCATAGCCTTACACATAACAGGTCCAGCTTTTCTTTTTAAAATCTTTATTTATTTGTCTTTTTCATTTTTATCGGTACCGGGGATCGGACTCACGACTGCCTGCTTGCAAGGCAGGTGCTTATGCCGCTGAGCTAAATCCCCAGCCCCTCTTTTTAAAATCTTGACACAGGATCTGGCTAAATTGCCCAGGCTGGGCTGGAATCTATGATCCTTTTGCCTCAGCCTCCCCTGGAGCTGCAATTACAGGTATGTGCTCAAACCCACCTTTGGGATTTTTAAAAAATATTTATTTAGTAATTTTTGGCTTCTTGATACATTTTTATTTTTTGGTACCGGGAATGAACTCAAGACCTTGAACTTTCCAGCCAGGCATTTGTGCCACCGAGATATATCCTTGGCAGGTTTTGCTATACAGTGCAGGCTGTCTTTGAAGTTGCTTATGTTGCCCAGGGTGGCCTCGAGCTTACGGTGATTCTTCTGCCTCTGGAGTGCCGTGTTTGCCACCACACCCAGCTTTGTGGGGGTGTTTTGTTTGTTTGGGTCTTTTCGAGGCAAGGTCTCACTATGTACTTTAGGCTGGTCCCTGAGCCTCTGGAGTGCTGGGGTGTCAGGCATGTACCACCATGCCCAGCTGCAGTTGTTTTGTTTTTGGTTTTTTTTGAGACAAGTTCTTGCTATGCTGTTCAGGCCAGCCTTCCACTCACTTTGTAGCCCAGGTTGATCTTGAACTTGCAATGATCCTCCTGCCTCAGCCTCCAAGTGCTGAGATTACAAGCGTGCGTCACTACACCTGGCTCTGGCTGTGGTTGTTTTAAAAGCTTTGAATGTCAACTCTAAACTCTTGAGACCAAATTGCCCTTAACTTTAAAAAGAAGATATTGGCTCAAATTTTGTTAACATCACACCTCTGGTACCCTTCCTGAAGAATGATAAAGATTAAGCTTAATTAATAGTGATGTTTTTAATAAGCAAAAGTCTAACTCTGCTTTTTAAAGCAAATAAAATAAAAATACCGGCACTATTTCAAATCATGCCAATGAAAATGGCATCAGCACAAAGATCTAAGCAAAATCAAATATAGATTAGTAATTAGAACAGCATGCAATGATTTCATTTTAGTAAAAACAAGAAACTTAGTAACAGGTAAAAGAAACATATGGCGTTATATTGAATACAGTATAAAACTAAATAACCATAAGTTTTATAAATTCTCCAATCATAACTGCTTGCTTTTGAAGAACTAAATTTTAGCTTCATTAAATTAAATGCCTATTCAACAAAGCTAATTGAAAAAATCTGTCTATACAAATTTTGATCCGAGAATACCAGCGTAAACAGGAGATGTTATTAAAGAAGAGTAAAAAGGTTCTATTCTTTTTCATCATCACTGTGATCAGGTTGCAAAGGACGTGCTCTGTTGAAAGAGTAGGGGAAAAAAAAGTACAGAAGTTTAGTAGTCACTCAACACGGGCTTACAAAAAAACTTAAAACCTTGTGTAAATAAGAAAATTAAACAATAGTGTCCAGTCAAGTGACTAGAAATGTGAGAAAATGAAGCTTTATTAACTGACAGACATAAAATTTCAAGTATGAGTGCACAAATTTTCAAGCAATATATTTTGCCGGTTACTTTGAAAAAAAATCCGTGTTTCTCACTTGGAATATATTATCTTTATTTCAACAGGAATCGCTCATTCTTTTTTTTTTTGTCTTTTTCCTTTTTATTGGTACCGGAGATCGAAGAATCTCTCATTCTTGTAGCATCTTTTTTAATGTGTTAAGGAAATTGATAAACAGTAAGAATTTTACAGAACACCTGTAATCCCAGAGTTTGAGGCCAGCCTGAACTACATAGCAAGACACTCAAAAAACAAAAACACACCAAAAGTAATTTTATAATAAAAAACAGAAAAATTAACCAACCTATTTGAGCAGAGAAAACATACACAAAATTTTCTATTTTACAATATACTCTTTTGGATTATATGACTATATAAGAATGAGAAATATCTCAAAATTATTTATTTAGCATATGGTAAGAATAACTTTAAAAAAAATAGCTTACATTATCCCAAGGCCATTTTGTTATTATCCTTCGTAGTTATCCTTTGTATAGATAAAAATCAATTAAGAACTGAATCACAAATTAGAATTTCTTTGGAGTGGGGGACAGAGTCTCACTATATGTTTCAGGCTGGTCTTGAACTCAACTGCTTAGCCAGGCTGGCTATGAACTAGAGGTGATCCTCCTGCCTCACCCTCTTTAGTGTCAAGATTACAAATGTACAACATCACACCTAACTATAGAATTTTTATTTTAGGATTGACAAAGCATTGTGAGCTCTACTCTAAACCCCTTCATTTTCTAATAGATCCAATCTGAATGGTCTAAAAGCTAAGTGCTAAAAGGATAATCTACACTGGTAGATTACAGACATTGTCACCATGACAATGTGAATCAAGAAATTGAATCAAGTTAATAAATGAACAATACCATGGCTCAGACTTCTTTTTGGCAAGGGCTTGATTTACTTTTAGACATCATTTCTGTCCAGGATTCAAGCAGAGGGCCAGCCAGCTATGATAGTGTACACCTGTAACCCTGCATGCTGGGACATTTGTAAGTTTTTTTTTTTTTTTTTTTTTTGTCTTTTTCCTTTTTTTATCAGTACCGGGGATGACATTTGTAAATTTAAGCCTAGTCTAGGTAGGGTTGTAGCTCAGTGCAAGGTTCCAAGGTTCCAAGGTTCCAAGGTTCAATTCCATTATCTTGTTTTTTAAAAAAAATTTAAGCAGATCTTCTTTTTTTTAAATTTTTTTTTTTTTTGGGTCTTTTTCCTTTTTATCGGTACCAGGGATCTAACTCATGACTGCCTGCTTGCAAGGCACGCGCTTATGCCACTGAACTAAATCCCCAGCCCTAGATAATCTTTCTTGATTCTGATTCTCTTCCATACAGCAGGTAAGAGTTTACACTGCCTTTGGGAGAAAAATAAATCCAGAAAAATAACTATTTCAAAACAGGAATTCAGAAGTTAGCATTTCTTGTGAATTTATTTACTATTTCAATTAAGGTGTAATTACAACTGTGCTAGACAAAGGCAAATTTAAGAAAAGAGGTTAAAAAAAATAAACTGTTACCTAATTTTTGGGTCAGACTTTATTATACCAGGGATTAAAGTTGTTTATGAGAATATATCTATAATCTCTTTCCATGAGAAGGAAGGTCTCTCGTACAGGTTTTATTTCTGTGATAATCAATGCTATAGTCACATTTAGATAAGTCACAAAGAGGGTTGAAATATGTCCTCTGACTAATCTTGCCTATTAGCGTATTCATATTACAATAAGAACAGGAAGAATGGTACCAGACAATGAGAGGGAACTAGAAGAAACAGGATCATGAGAAAAGCCCATTAAAAGCTTTATCCAGTGAGGCATGGTGATACATGATTGTAATTCCTGAACTTGGTAAACTGAGACAGAGTGTAAACTCAAGCCCAGCCTGAAAAATTTAGGGAGACAAAATGGGTGGGGCTGGGGAGTGTTGGAGATTTAGCTCAGCGGCATAAGCACCTGCCTTGTAAGGCGCAGTTATGAATTTGATCCCCGGTACAAAAAAAAAGGAGCTGGGGGGCTAGAGATGTGGCCCAGTGGTAGAGCTCTTGCCTTATGTGCACAAGGCCCTGGCTTTGATCCCCAGCACCACAAAAAAAAGGCTGGGGCCAGGCATGAATATGCATTGGAGACTGAGGCAGGACTGCTGTGAGTTCAAAACCATCCTGGGCTACATGGTGAGGCCCTGTCTCAAAAAGAAAAAAGGCTGAGAATAGTTGGGTGTAGTGGCACACATCTGTAGTCCTAGTATTCAGGAATAGGATCATCTTGAGTTGAAGGTCAGCCTGGACAACATAGTGAGACCCTGTCTAAAGAAAAAGAAAAGGGGGGCTGGGGATTTAGCTCAGCAGCATAAGCGCCTGCCTTGCAAGCACAGTCTTGAGCTGGCTCCCCAGTACCAAAAAATGAAAAAGAAAAAGGGCTGGGGCTGAGGCAGGTGGATTATTGCGAGTTCAAGACCAGCCTGGGCTGCAAAGTGAGCACCAAGGCCAGCCTGAACTGCACAGTGAGACCCTGTCTCGAAAAGACAAAAAGAAAAAGGGCTAGGAATGTAGTTAAGTACAAAGGCCCTCGTTTTAATTCCCAATACTGCAGAACAACAATTTTAAAAAGTAAAATTAATATTTTAAAGTTTATCAAATATGCCTTTCAAGTAGATCAGTTTTTGAATTGTAAAATTATTTAGTATATACAGAAATAAGAGTGTTTTGAGATGAGTAGCAGTCAGTGCACTTCTAAACTTTCAAATCAAGCACCTAAAAGAACATAAAACTCTTCTCTCTTCTAGGTATCTTCCCCAAATAGTAGCATCACATTACAGTGATACAAACTACTTATATTTATAGCAGAACAACGCATAATAGCTAAATCTTGGAAGCAGTTTATATGTCCATCAACAGGGCTGGAGATAGAGCTCAGTGGCACAGCATCTGCCTGGCAAGTACAAGGATTTGATTTTTAGTACCCAAAACAAAACAAACAAACAATAAGTCAGAGACTGTATGACCATCAACAGGTGAATGGAAAAAGAAAATGCAATATTTATACACTGTGAAATACTACTCTGCCAAAGAAGGATGAAATTTATACAAAAATGATGCACCTTGAGACAGTAATGGCAAGTTAAAATAAATCAGACACACAAGCTTAAATATCAAATGGTTTCCCTTATTAAACACCTGATGTATAAATAAAAAGCAAATAAAGAGATAATAGGAAACAGAAATAGATCTTGTACAAATGGGAAGGGGACCCAGAGAGATGTGAAGTGTGGGGTGTGGGGTAAAAAGAATTAAGATGTGTCATGAACCCACAATGCATATAATCATTATGTTCTGCAAACATGTACGAATGCAGTTTTTTTTGGGGGGATACTGGGGGTCAAACTCACGACCTCATACTTGGCAGACAGCCCTTATGCTGCTGAGCTAAATCCCCAGCCCAATTTTTTTTAATTTTTAAAAGCACAAAAGAAAAAAAAAATCTGATGCAGTTGTTATATGGTAACACACTGGGAACATGACAGATTTATTAGTATCTATGCAAGGATCATTGATGCTTGGATTTGGAGTAGATTCTAGGTCATCCTTGCACTGGCACATGCCAATTTCTACACAGAAAGTTAAACACAATGCCGAGAGACCCAGCATGTAGCTCAATGGTAGATACAGCATGTTAAACCTGGCACCAAAACCAAAAACAGAACAATTAAAAAAAAAAAAAAAAAAAGTAAAATTAGGACTGCTAAAACAATATAGAGGAGGAATGTTGAACCTTGTTAGAGCTTTCAGTGATACGGACAGACCACTGAGGCAAGCATGCCGTAGTTCACCACCATCGATACAGAGGATTTGTGCGCTAACACCTGATGTTTCCTTCCAGTGTACATATAAAATCACAAAATCTTTGTATAGTACCTAATTATTTTATGCTTTTCTATACTGCAAACTAAAATAAAAACTGAATATCTATTCTACAGTGCATCATTTTTCTCTAGAGCAATGTGAAGTTATTCCAAGGTAAAGTTTTAAGAGTTTGTCTGTGGTACTAGGGATCGAACCTGGGGTCTTGTTTGTTTGTTTGTTTGTTTGAAGACGAGGTGTTGCTCAGTTGCCCATGCTGGGCTCAAATTTGCCATTCTCCTGCTCAGCTTCCTAGCATGTTGGGGTTACAAGTATGTGCTATCACACCTTCTTTAAAGGCCTGTATTTCTTTAGCCACATTTAATGAAATCAGTAACTAATTTTCAATTTGTCAATACTATAAAGGTTTAACATTGACATTCATCATCAAGTTAAATCCTGCAGATGACTTCAAGCCAGCCTAGTTTGGGATTCAAGATTTTCTGTTTGTCTAGAGTAGTGGCCTTCACCTGTAATCCCAGCACTTGTGAGGTTGAGGCAGGAGGATCACAAGTTAGAGGCCAGCCTGAGCTGCACAGCAAGATCCTGTCTCAAAGAATGAAAAAAAAAAAAAAAAAAAAAGATTTTTGTGCGTAATGAATGGAATTCGTAGATTTGATGAAGACCTGGAATTTTTTTCCTAACTGGAAACCCAGGTGCCATCTGCATAGGGTTTTAGAATATGAGTTACAGAACCGTAGATTTTTCTTGACCTGAGCTTTTTCGTTTGTGTTTGAGGCAATCTATCTCTACAGTTTAGGCTTACTGGCATGCAATACCACATCCAGCCTGGGTCTTGTTTTTGTTACTATTTTCTAGTAACCTTAAGACTTTCACACTGAGCTTCATCCCTGGTCCTATTTTTCACATTTTTTTCCTGCTTGTTTGTTTTTGAGATAGGGTCTCACAAAGTGAGACTGCCCAGGATGGGCTCCAACTTGTAACCCTCCTGCCTCAGCCTCCGACTGCTGGGATTACACACTTGTGACAAAAAGCCCACCTGACCCGAGTCTCTTAACAGCAGAGACAGAGAAGGGCAGCAAGGCCAGTAAGGCTGTACGTAGCCTTTAGGGTGATGCTGGAGCGCTTTATAGCGCTCTCACTGCAGGGAAAACCCGGAATGCTGGTTAAGGAGGCAAATGAAGAAATCCACAAGGGCAGGTGTGGTACCAGGAGTAGCAGCCATGCCTGAGCCAGCCTCCATCTCTTCCCCTCCTGCATCAGCACATGGAGGCCAGGGCGCTAACTGGCAGGCTGGAAGATCTCCAGGCATCTAGCTGGTTGGAAGTAGCAAGGAGGGCCTCGTATGGAACGGGCATCACAAATGTAACAGTGGCACCACACCCTCCCCTCTTAGACCAAGTGAAATATTGCTTTTGAAACTTTTAAAACACTTAAAAATTGGATATAGACCCTGTGCTCCATTATTTACACATTTTTTTAGAAAGAGTCATTTTCATGTTTTTTTTTTTTTTTTCTCTTGTGACAAGGTCTCATTGTGTACTTCATGCTGATCTTGAACTCACTATGTAGTCCAGGCTAACCTGGAACTCCTGGTGATCCTCCTGCCTCCGCCTCCCAAGTGCTGGGATCACAAGTATGTGCTGCCATGCCCAGCTTCCTAATTCTGAAAAGTAATGCCTTTTTATAATTATTGTTGAAGGCTGGTAGCACAGAGTATAAGATGTTTTTACCGAGAGATAATTCTCTGATATTTGCAAACAGCACATATACATGTTTTGTTTTTGTTTTTTGTTTTGTCTTTTTCTTTTTTATCGGTACCGGAGATTGAACTCACAATTGCCTGCTTGCAAGGCAGACGCTTATGCCGCTGAGCTAAATCCCCAGCCCCCATACATGTATTTTATACAGAAAAATTATACTTTTGTGTAGTTTTTGCCTCACAAATATCATGAACATTTTCCTGTCACTGAAAGATTAAAAGCATCATTTAATTAGCTGCTTAAAATTTTACATGGTGAGCTCTGTCAGTATAATGTCCCCACCTTGTTTTGTTCTTCAGAGCTTACAGAGAAGTTATAAAGAAAATGTACCATGGAGTTAGTCTTGGTAGTGTCTAGATGATTGACCTTTCTGTACTTTCATTTTTCTACATTAATTATATGTCGTGGAAGTTAAGCTAGTCATTGTTTTTCTGCTGCAAAAAGACCAGAGCCTTGTGCATGCTAAGTTCAGGTTTGCACCCTGTGAACTATACCTCATAATGGTATTTAGAGATATATAAGCTTTAATGGAATTTAACCTAGATAAGGCAACATGGAAATCGCTTTTTGAGAAAAGACTAAAGACAAAGTAAAATTACCCTTCCTTAAAAAAAAAAAAAAAAAAAAAAAGTTAGCCAGGCATGATGGTGCACGCCAGGATACCCAGCATTCAGAAGGCTGAGGCAAAAGGATTGCTACAAGTTCAAGGCCAGTCTGGACTACAAAGTGAGTTCAAGGCCAGCTTGAACTGCATATTGTGAACGTGACCCTGTCTCAAAAAGAGAGAATAAAAAATAAATAAAAGCGGGCATGGTAGTGCACACTTGTCACCCCAGCACTGGAGAGGCTGGGGCAGAAGGATTGCTGCAAGTTCGTGGCTAAACTGCATATAAATACAGCACAAAGTGAAAAATTAAAGAATAAAAGGAGTACATTGGTAGTGAATGATGAAGCACTTATCTAAATGGGTGCAAATTCTCTTTGGAATAGGTAAAAATAATACTTTTTCCCGTTTGAAATTTAGGAGTAACTTAAAATAAGAAAGATTATGTTTAAAAATCTTTATTTCTTATTTATTTATTCGGCAGTACTAGGGATTGAACCCAGGTACTTAGACTTCTGAGCTACATTACCCAGGCTGGCTTCAAATGTATGATCCTCCTACCTTAGCCTCCACAGCAGCTGGGATTACAGGTATGTACCATCGTGTCTAACCACTTTGTGTGTTATTCAAGAGAAAATTTTTAAAAAGTTATGCAATATCTCTTTTGTCCTTTATTGTTTAAGAGGATATAAAAACTTACTTTCTGTTTGTTTTTCCTAAGCCACTACTTCCTGGCTCTTCAGGAATTCGATTCTCTTTTTCAGAATCTTTAGGGGAAAGCCTGAAGAATTCTCCAATTCCTTTTTGCCACTTGGGAGTTGGACGTACACAGACTGGATTCCCTCCTGAATACTTATTTTCAGCTAAAAATATAAAAATACACAATTAAATAATAACATAGAATACAATCCCCGTTCCTTAAAGATTTTTTTTTTTGTACCAGGGATTGAACTCACGACCTTGCACTTGCTTAGGAGGCACTTGTGCCAAGAATTAAATTCTTTTAACATCAAGCTCTCAAAGGTATTAAGTGGTACTATATCCATTTTTAAAGTAATTAGATAATATAACCAAGAAAACCTTATTCAGACAATAAAATTCAATTAAATAGTTATCCTAGAAAAATAGCGGTAATAGAATTTTTACAACTGGAAAATTTTTTCATATTTTGCCCACAAGCAAGCTATTCAAATACTTGTCACTAGCCAGAAGTGGTGGCACACAGCTGTAATGTCAGCACTTGAGAGGCTGAGGCAGGAGGATCATTGTAAGTTCGAGACCAGCCTGGGCTACAAAGTAGCTCAAGGCCAGCCTGAACTGCATAGTGAAACCATGTCTCAAAAAGTTCTACATAGCAAGAACTTGTCTCAACAACAACAAAAGTGGTCCTTTGGTTCTTAATTTTACTAAGGAAAACTCATAGGACTGTCTTCACCACTAGAAAATATTTAGTAGCAATACATTTTTTGAAATATTTTATCCTCCTGCCTCAGCCTCTATTTTTATTTTTTGAGATGAAGGTGTCTCTATGTTGTCTAGGCTGGGCTCCAACTCCTGAGGTCACAGAATTCTGACTCAGTCTCTTCAAGAAGCTGGCATTACAGGCGTAAACCACTTTATCCAGCTAGTGGCAACAGATTTCAACAGTCCTGCTGATTTAGTTATACGATCTCTGCCAACGTACATAACCTGACCTTAGATTCTCTTTCTCTCCTTTCTTTCTTTCTTTCTTTCTTTTTTTTTTTTTAAGTTGTTGTTAAGACAAGGTCTTGCCTTGTAGTACAGGCTGGCCTTTAACTCACTATGTAGCCTAGCCTGGTCTGGAACTCATGGCAATCCTCCTGCCTCAGCCTCCAGAATGTTGGGATTATAGGCATGCCCCACCATGCCTAGCAAATTTTCTCTTTTTTATTTTATTTTTTGGTACCAGGGAAGTATGAGATTGTGAGTTCAATCCCAGGTACTAAAATAAATAAATTTTTAAAAATGAGGATATGGGCTGGGGATTTAGCTCAGTGGCATATCTGCCTGGCAAGTACAAGGCTGTGAGTTTAATCCCTGGTACCAAAAATAAATAAATAAAATAAAAATGAGGATATTAGCAAATAGAAGTTAAAAATAGAGATCTGTAAAATGTTATAAAAGTGCATTTGTGCAACATAGTCATTAAGGGCCTCTGCAGTTGACTGGTGATTCACCAGTGAGCCAGACCATGGCATAGAGCTCTGACAGTTTGTTCTAGGAGTAGAGCACTTACAGAATTCTCAGTATACTGATTTACCTTCAGAAATCTTTTTTTGTTGTTTGTTTTTTGAAATAAGGTCTTTGTATGTAGTTCAGACTGGTCCTGAACTCGTTATATAGCACAGCCTGGCCTCAAACTCATGGTGATCCTTCTGCCTCAGCCTCCTGAATGCCTCCATGCCCACTTATCTTCAACTTGACTACTACTATATTCCCTCTTATCTGATGACTTAAACCATAACTGTTTTCTTTTTTGGTACCAGGAATTGAACTCAGGACCTTATGCTTACCAGGCAGACACTTGTGCTATTGAACTATATCCCCAGCCCTGAAATCGTATCTTTTCTAACAAAATGTTTTGATTTTTTTTTTTTTTTTTTTGTCTTTTTCCTTTTTATTGGTACCGGGGATCGAACTCATGACTGCTTGCTTGCAAGGCAGGTGCTTATGCAGCTGAGCTAAATCTCCAGCCCAACAAAATGTTTTGAATAGGGGAAAATTTGAGTTGACAACTCATGAAATCTGAAACAGTGTGTCCCTCTGTTTTTTACTAAGGTGGAGTTCATTTTCCTGCTTACTTGGCTTCCCACAGAAAGCATGAGGCACCAGGTGGCAGGGCATTTTCTCACCCTTTCCACAGAAGGGGCGGTGTGAAGCTGTTTCCCTTGCCTGGCTCCCCTCCTACTCTTTCAAAGGCAGTATCAGGAGCCACAAAGTTAGAAAATGCAGAGAGCATCCTCAGAAAAGAGAGGAAGAAAAGATTAGAGAAAGGGAAGGCAAAAGAAAGGGAAGGAAAAAATGCAGAAACAAAAGCAAAAGCTGGTTGGATAACATGAGCTTATAATCCTATCACTTTAGGAAGCTGAAGCAGTTTCCTAAACTTCAGTTTCCATGTGAGCAACTTAGCAAGACACTGTCTCAAAGCACTACAAGTAAAAATAAAAGCTAGAGATTTAGCTCAGTGGGAAAGCCATGGGTTCAATCCCCACAGCCTTTTTCTGCAAAAAAAGAAAACAAAATCTATGCTAAGACAATGTGGTTAGTACTGTCAACCATCATCTCATATCTAGTGAGGAAGTACTTCAGAAATCTCTACAAGATAAAATGATTTCGGGCAGCATGCTGGCACACAGCTATAATCCCAGCACTCCCAGAAGCTGAGGCTGCAGGATCCCTGAGAGTTCAGGGCCAGGGTGGGCTACATGGTGAGACCCTGTCTCAAAAACAAAACAATAAAATGATTGTTATTAAAAAAAAAAAAAAAAAAAAAAAAACGCTAAACCCAAAAGAAAACAGATAGGAAAATAGCTTGAGATTCTCTTCTAAAAGACCTCCACTTCCACTCCCAGCTGCCCAAAAGGCCAAAAGCCCCTTCAAAGGACAAGAAAGAAATTTCAGCGTGAGGATCTTAAGTAAAATGAATCATGGTGGAAGTTGAGATTTTTAAGAACTGCTGTGCCATGCATGATGATCCCTCTGCCCTTCAGAAGGGCTGGGGTCTGCATACACCTGGGGTCTCTACACTGTGCCACATCCCCACCCTTTTACGAAATTTATTATTTTTGAGACAAGGATTCTCTCAGTTGTCAGGGCTGTGCTTGAACGTGTGAATTTCCTGCCTTAGCTTCCCACCGTGCCAGAGTACAGGTACGTGTCACAAAGCGATCTGGGCCCTTTCCTAGAGGATTGTTACCTCAGAAACTTCTACGGGTGCTTCTTACCTTTCCTGGAGGACGAAAACGCCCTGGAATTCGTGGCAGACGTGGAGGGACCCAGCACCTTCCTGGGGGCTCGAGAGGCCACCACTGCATGGACAGACAAAGTGGGGGCTGGGGGGCTTGGCGTTCCGAAGGGGACAGCGGGATTCGAACACAGAGTCACGCTCTCGCCACCGCCCCAGCCCGAGGTGTGTGGAGGAGACAGCTCTGAGATCTTCCAAGTCAGACGGCCTTTTCCGCAGCTTCCACCCGGAGGTTAGGGGCCTGGGCCGGGGAGGTTAGGGGCACCCTTCCCTGCACCCCACACCCCAGGCCGCGCCTGATTGCCTCACCTTTCCTGTAAGTGCCTGGGACACTATCTGCTTTAGTCCGCACCATGGTAGCCCGAGAGGAGACAAGGGAGCTGCACTGACTTCCCAGCGAGAGTGGCTCGCAGGACAAGGACCCGCAGGAGACGCTCCCGCCACGGTTAACAAGGGGCGCTTTCCCGCGCTTCTCGACTTGCGCGAGCCGTGACGCCCATTGGTTCCGCGCCTCCCCCATGAACCAATCGCGGGATCCCGCGTGACAGTGGCCAGGCTCACAGCCCCGCTGACCAGTCCTTCAATGTGCAGAGCCCTGTGATTGGCGCCCGCGCCAGGAGGCGGGGCAGGAGCCCCACTCTACCAATGAAATGAGCCCGCTGGTGAAAGAAAACCCAGCTAACAAAGAATTACAAAATTATCGTAGGGTTAAATCCATGGTGATGGGCTCCGGGAAGGAAGCCTAAAATTAAGCGAACTTTTTGACGCACCTACAAGAAATCAAAACTTAAAGAAAGAAATGGAACTTGAGAGTTTTAATACGTCTGGCACGAATTGTATCCATATCCACCATTTATTCCAAAAATAATTCTATGGGATGGGGGAAAGAAAACTAATACAACTTATTTACAGGCTTTGATGTCTTTAGTGTCTTACGAAATTAAGGAAAAACTGGGGCAGTTAGATCTATTATGCACACAATAATAAAACGTCTTGACAAACAGGCTGAGGACTCAGCTCTAGCTCTGGCAAACATAACTAGAACGGGGGCGGGGGGGGGATTATTTCCCATTCCTGGGCTGCTAATTGTGATGTCCCCAGGAGTAAATTTCACTCTCAATTCGCGCTTAAAACCAGGTTGGCTCAACTCGCTGTGTGATCTCACTTGAAAGTGAATCCTAGGAATGAAAGTATGACACTGTGAAGAATTCTGCTTGCATTTAAAAAAAAAAGTACTTTAACAGAATCAACTACATTGTGTTATACAAGGAAAAGATTTAGAGACCAGGTTAAATTAACATGATAATAGGAAGTGTGGGTTGGTAATTACCTGCGGCTACACTCTTATCAATGCATATACCACAGTTTAAAAAATCAACACACCTCAGAGTGTTTCTTTGTTGTCGTCAGACTCCATAGTGATGCGAGCTGCTTTTTTGGAGGGGGAGGGGTGCCGGGGGTCAAACTCACGACCTCTTGCCACTAAACTATATCCCTGGCCGTTGCTTTATTTCCCTGGCCCGCCGGCTGCTTCTTAAAAGCCACTATTTCCTTTTCCGTTAGCGCCCCTTCTACACGCTTCTGAATTGTTTAATTAGAACTCACATCCCAGATTTCTGCAGAGACCGGAAATCCCTGGCGAACATGTCAGTCTTTTCTTCTATTGTACATGCCAAGTAAATGGCTAGGAAGAATTTCAAAATGCTGTACTTTTTCATATAAAAGCACTCTGCATCCTACAGTAGTATTGTGTATGTGTTTGCATATGTGTTTGTGTTTGTGCGTTTACCTGAGAATCAAAAACTTCGAGTCTAACACATCATAGGCCATTGCTCTACCAGTGAGCCATACCCCCACCGTTTATGGTTTGGTTTTGTTTCTCGGGTTTTTTGGCTTTGTTGTTTTTTTGGTTTTTTGTACCAGGGATCAAACTCATGACCTTGCGCTTGCCAGGCAGGCATGTATGCCACTGAGCTAAAATCCCCTGCCCTTTTTTTTTTTTTTTTTTTTTTTTTTGTCTTTTTCCTTTTTATCGGTACCGGGAATCAAACTCACGACTGCCTGCTTACAAGGCAGGCGCTTATGCCGCTGAGCTAAATCTCCAGCCCCTGTTTTCGTTATTTGAGACAGAGTTCTCTTGTTATAATCCAGGCTGCCCTCCAACTCACAGCAATCCTCCTGCCTCAGCTTCCCAAGTGCTGAAACTACAAGCATGGTCACCATATCTGGCTCTCTATGTCTTTTTAAATGTTAGTGATAATGAAGTTTGCATGGCAGGGAAAAAGTGAAAGAACACAGTGAAGCCTGCAGCTTCCTGTGTCCAGGTATGAACCACTGTGCCTACCCATTACAGAGATTACCTTTAAGTCATGTTAAATGAGTATGCTTATTTGCTCATTATAATAAATTATAATGATTGTAAATGACATTAAATCATGCATACTACAAACCGGACATGGCTGTACTTAATGCCAGCACTCACGAGGCTGAGGCAGGATTACTGTGAGTTCAAGGCCCGCTTAGGCTACAAAGCCAGCTTGAGCTGCATAGTGAAATTCTATCTCAAAAGGAAAAAAAGTATACAAATTACAACAGAGAGGTAACACTCATTAACATGCACTACAAAAAAAGAATACTGATGTCGTTGTTGAGGACCTGGTGATATATGTGATGTATTAAGTTTCTTTTGTGCAAAAGAATTTAGGGAATAATCTCTGTGTTCAAGAAGTTAATATTTTAGTTCCGAGACAATATTCCCACAGGTAAATTATTTGGAGATATTAAATTATTTGGAGTTTGGATATACTAATTAGTAATATAATTATTATTAAATAATGTATCAGGGTATTTAATATATCAGACTTAATATATCAGATTTTTATGAAGAAAACAAACTTGTACAATTAATAAATGCTGACAATATTTTGCTCTTTTTTGGGGGGGGGGTCTTTTTGAGATAAGGTTTCCCTATGCAGCTCAGGCTGGCTTTGAACTCATAGCCCAGGCTGGCTTCAATTACAATTACAGGCTTGTACCACTACACCCTGACAATATTTTTTTGTTTTTGTTTTTGTACCAGGGATCATACTCATGACCTCATGCTCACCAGGCAGGTATTTATGCCACTGAGCTAAATCCTCAGCCCAATATTTTGCTTTTAAAAGAAGCTAGAAATCACACTTTCCAAGTTAATGGCAGCACAGGCACTATAAACTCAATATAAATCAATACATATATTTGATTACTAATGCAAATGAAAAGATGAGCATAAAAAGGTGAAACAGGGGCTAGGAATTTAGCTTAGTGGCATAAGTGCCTGCCTGGCAGGCACAAGGTCATGAGTTTGATCACTGATACAAAAAAAAAAAAAAAAATGGTGAAACAGCATCAATTTAATATAACTTTGTCTAAATACACTGATAGGAATAAAAAAACTTTTAACCTGTAAATGTGAGCCAAATGTCACACAGCACGCCTGTAATCCCAGACTGAAGTAGAAAGATAACAGATTCAAGGCCAGCCTGAGCAATTTAGCCAGAACCTGTCTATCGTAAACCCAAATATTGAGTTCAGTCATCCAAGTATTGTAATCCTTTTAGTTTTCCTCACAATCCAAAAGGTTAGATTTGTAATCCCATTGAGACATTATTGAAATCCCAGCAAGTTAATTCCAATCTATTACAACCAATGCAACCTATGGTGAGAGTAAAAACACCAAGACATTCCAAATTAAGGGCAGCCCAGAGGTCCTAAATCCAATTCCCGAGAGGACATGTGGACAAAGGCCTTGATCCTAGGCCTCTCCCAGAATTTATTATCTTGTGAAGAAGTGGGGGTAGCTCAGAGATGAGTGACAGTGAGGATGGTGGGAATCACATGAGTAACTTGAGCTGGCTAGCCAGGTGCAAGATTGGCATCTCTGTAAATTGCAGAGATAAAGATATGCAGAAGGATCAATTTACATAATCCAATAAAGGTAGCATTTGAATTGTTTTGGGGGGGCCATTGCTTCTGTTTCTGATATGCAAACTCTTGTGCCCTGGGGAGTCATAGCCTCTTATTCTGGGGCGGTACCCAGTTGACATTCCAGGAGCTATTTGCTCAATCCTGTACATATCTGTATTGTAGAAGAACACTATATAAGGAAAAAGGACTGTCTGTTGGCTATAGAGATTGCATAACAGCACCTAGGCTGACCTTACTTGCAATGCTTAGAGTCAGTTGAAGAGAGAAGGAAATACCCTAGCCAACTTTTTACATATTAGTACTCATTTCCTAGTATAAAGAAATGAGTCTCCAAATAATCAGTCACAGTAATTGTTCTGGATTCAAAGGGAGGCGCTGGAGTAGTCTCCTATATCTGTCTTAAAAAAAAAATTAAGGAGTTGGGATATAGCTCAGTGCAAAGGCCCTGGGTTTGTATTCCTAGACCAATAAAAAATGAGTAAGTAAATAGTAATTAAATGCCAGCCATCAGAAGACATCCTCTGCTGAAAAACTTGGCAACATATTCTGCAGCCCATTGTTCTACTGGAGTGGGAAAATTACAAAAACTCTTGAAATCTGGGCATCTTGGGTTCAAAATTAATATGGAGAGTCTTCAGAGCAAAATCTCAGTACTTATTTTATTAGCATATCACCAAACAAGGGCACACTCATTTGCTGAGGCTGACCTTCCTGGAAGAAATTTCGCTCAAAATTGAAACACGAGGGGCTGAGGATTTAGCTCAGCGACATAAGTGCCTGCTTTACAAGCATGCGATCGTGAGTTCGATCTCCGGTACCAATAAAAAAGAAAAAGACAAAAAAAAATTTTTTTTAAACATGAGCTGGGCGTGTAGCTCAATGGTACAGCTTCCCAGCATGCTCCAGGCTCTGTGCTAATTCCCAACCCTGGGCATATGAATACTGTATTTAACCACAAGGGGTATCGATAATAATCACCACCACCAGGGCAAAAATTAATAGGATCCTTGGAAGGTTACTTTAACATTTTACATAAAATGAGATCAGATTTTAGGTTGTATTGTCATTTGGGGGGTTTTTCTCTTTTCAGAAAGGCTTTCGCTATGCAGTGCAGGCTGGTCTTGAACTCACTTTGTAGCCCAGGCTGGCTTTGAACTCGGAGAGACCTTCCTGCCTCAGTTTCCCACGCGTTGGGATTAGAGGTGTCCGCCACCACGCCCCGCAGGGATATTGTTTCTTATTTTTCCTAAACTGCACATTTTATAGTATTTGGGCCGTCTTCTCAGCAATATTGCCAACGGTGTTCCTCTCATTTTAGGCCCACTGATGTGTAGGATCTCTCATTGATGGAGCTGTAGTACAACCGCCTCAGACCAGGAAGTCCGGAGCCGCGGGAGGCGGTGCAGGTGGGCGGGACCTGTACTGGAGGCGGAGCTAGCGCGCAGGCGATGCGCGTTAGCGGAACCCTTGTCCGTGGGGTCTGTGTTGCAAAGGGAACCAGTGCTGCGTAGGACCAAAAGTCGTTTGTCGCCCAGCTGGTTCCGGCCCGAGAA